AGAGTTCATCAAGTCGTATCACTATCAAAGCTGCAAAAGTTTCCAGAATCAAGGCATGTTCAACGGCAAAAAGGAAAAGAGAAAATGGTTCTTGAAGATGATGATGAAGAATTAGTAGATGAAGAGAAGTCGGAAGAAACAGAAGATGAATTAGAAATTAATCTTCCACAATCTGAGGGAGAAAAGGAGGAGGGATATGCCTTGGTGGATGAGAAAGAGGATGATTATGTTGGAGTTGAAGAAGAATAAATTGATAATCTTTATTTTTATTATTAACTTGACATTTGATACTTGCAAATTTTGTATTAAATTATACTTTGGATTGTAGGTTAAGCTACATATATTTTGAGTTACCTATAATATTTTTTTATATATTTTATTATATCCACCATAAATCTACAATAACCTACCATGACAGCTGCTATAACTTTATGGCAGTTTTTTTGGTTTCTACCATCCGCCATTGATAACATTGCATTTTAGTAGTGGTTGATAGATTGACTAAATACGCTCATTTCATTGCACTTAGCCATCCCTTTACTGCCGAAGAGGTTGCCGAAATTTTTATCACAGAGATAGTTAAATTGCATGGCTTCCCCTCTTCTATTGTATAAGATCATGACAAAATATTCCTAAGCCACTTCTGGTCAGAATTATTCAAGTTGGCCGACACTAAACTCAAGTTTAGCTCTGCATACCACCCACAAACAGATGGCCAAACTGAGGTGGTCAACCGGTGCTTAGAGATTTATCTGAGGTGCCTCACCGGAACTAAACCTAAGCAATGGCCTAGGTGGTGAGTTGGGCTGAGTTCTGGTTTAACACCAACTACAACAGCTCTCTGGAATTGACTCCTTTCAAAGCATTGTGTGGCCGCGACCCACCCCATCTTCTGAAAGGAGTCACTATTTCGTCAACTATGGAAAAGGTGAACGTGATGACTTATGACAGGGACCAAATGTTACATGATCTCAAAGAAAATTTGATCAAAGCCTAGAATCAAATGAATAAGTATGCTGACCAATCTAGGCGCCCAACATCCTTAGCTATTGGCGATTGGGTTTATCTCAAGTTATAGCCGTACAGGCTACGATCATTGGCTCGGAAGAGAAATGAGAAGTTGTCTACGTTTCTATGGTCCTTTTCAGATCACCAAACAGATTGGAGCAGTTGCTTTTCAGTTAGCCCTTCCACCAGAGAGAGTAAAATCCACCCCGTGTTCCATGTTTCGTTACTCAAGAAGGCCCTCTCCCCCTCAGCAAATCCTCAACCTTTACCACCTATGTTGTCTAAAGAGTTGGAATAGCAGGTAACACCATAGTAGTCAATCTCGGATAGCGGTGCGGAGTGGCCGACCCAAAAAACGCTATAGCGGATAGCGGGATAGCCGCTATTTTGAAGTTCTAAGTATTATGCCTAATATAAAAATAATATCCAAAACAGAGAGAAATAAAAACCAGATAAGAAAATAGAGAATTGGTCAGTCACTAGCAAATGTGCAGGTTCATCGGATGTTTTATCAGAGATGATGATGACTGAAAATGCCTGGATCACATTGGAAACTTCACCGGAGTTGAAGAAGACAATCAGAGATGAAGACGACCAGAACACGTCTAAGTTATGTCAGAAGCTTTGCCGGAGACGAAGAAGATAACCGGTGGACGACTCTGTCACGTCATAAGCCTTGCCTGAGAAGAAGAAGGACACCGGAAGCAAGAGAATGTCGCAGAGAATGAAGATGGGGAAGAAAGAAGGAGAAGAACAAACCAGAAAACTGCGAGACAAAAATGAAGATTAGGGCTCGTGAGTCGTGAGTCATGAGGAAGAAGATATAAAAAATGTAAAAGGGGGCGAAATCCCAAGATTACCCCCATTTAAAGATGTCTAACGTTAAGAAAGCAAAGGCAAAGTCGGGTTTTGGCAAGGGATGGAATAGCAGCCGCTATGGCTGCGATTCTCCCGCGATTTGGCCACTATTCGCAGCGCGATGGCCGCTCCACTGAAACACAACGCTATAAGCTCCCCATAGCGGTGTGACCTGCCGCTCCTCCTCGACAGTGGCCGCTATTGACTACTATGGGTAACACCAGGTGCTGTGAAAGCAGTGCATAACACTACTCACAGGACTGCCGAAGTGCTTATTCAGTGGACTGACCTACTAGAGTTTGAAGCCACTTCAGAACCAGTGGAAACCATCATGCAGCAATTTCCTTCTTTTCACCTTGAGGACAAGGTGACTCTTTTGGGGGGGAGTATTGTTAGGCCCCTTATAAGTAAATATTATAAGAAGAGAGCCAAGACTTAGGTTTTTTAATAGGATTGAATTATCTTCGCAGTTATTAATTATTTTAGCAGTTGCTATTTTAATTAGTGGGGACAAGCGTAACTGCCTGAGGCAGTTACGAGTAGAATAAAAATAGGAGAAGAGGTAGGAAGGAGGGCAGGCAACTTTTGAGTGGTTTCGGAAAGGGAGAGACCAGGCTCTCAAACATCTTGGGAGGAAGCCTTTGTACTTAATCCGTTTTGCTCAATATGTCTTTGACACTCTGTTAATGCATATTCAAGAAGTATGGAAACCATTTTTCATAAAACGAAGTAAACCTCAATATGTCTTTGACACACTTCAATCCTTGACCATTGACATTCCAATACATTTAAGTGATGCACTATCAAATAACTCTTCTGTGAAACTATTCCTTATTAATCATAATAAATGAGTTGGAAGACCATGATCATTGGGAGTTGGGACTGTTGCTACTTCTCAAAATGGAGATCACAACACTTTAGTAGCTTCGAACCAACAGCGAGCACCCAGTAACTTTCACTCCCTCTCTTCCATATTTAAGCCAGTAGCCTCGTTGTAACTTAATTAAAATAATTATTTATTATATTTTGTGAATTTTTTATATAAATTTATATATGAATCTTAAACGTATCATATCATATGTTTTTAGAGAAAAGAAGTATCGTATATGAATCATATCCAATACTAATATTGTATTTGTGTATCAAGATAAAACATATTTCCTTTGTTTGAACTTTTAAGATCAAGAAGGTTCGGCAAATATGAATATTAGAAGCCCAGCTCTAATATACCACAAGGATATACATTTCAAATTACTTAACTAAGCACAGTCCCATTCAACCACATAAGAATAAAACATAGGCAATTCAGTTGGTACGTGGTTAACTGAAGTAATATAGGGCTAATTTTTTAGTAGCTAACGCAAAACCAAATTCAGTTATCTAAATCTTAAAACAAGAGTTCCTATCAATAACACCAAGAATGAGGATTGCATTCAAGATACACCAATAGAATTCTTCTCCTAGTCTTATTGAATTTCAAAATACCATAGTATCCCTAGATTTTAGAATGATCTAGATTTACTAAATCAAAATTTTGGTCTTATATCCAACCAAAAGAAAACTTCATCAAGCTAGAAATGTAATAGCTTGCAGGAGAATCAAGAATCCTCACATAAAAGACAGGAGCATTCACCAAAATTAGCTATTCAAGCAAATCCTTTTCCTTCCCTAAAAATTAAAAAAAAAAAGTGTTCAAGCCCACCAGAAAGAAAAAGACCCTCCCACTGAGTATGAGGAGGAAATTATCTCAGGCTAAAAATGCTGGCATTCCCACTACAACCAAATCCACAGCACTCAATCATGCTAAAAGAGCACAACTACAAAGTGGCACCTTATTTTTATTTCTACTCTTAAATTTCTACAACAAGCAAAATAAGGTATCCAAGTTAGGCAGATAAATCCAACATTTTGCAAACAACCTAAACAAAAGAAGAATACAGAGGAAATGGTGGATGGGTAATTCTCCTTAAAAAAGAGGAAACAAAAAAGTATGTATCGAGGAACAAAGGAAATCAGCAAAGTAAATCAACCCAATCCCTAAGGGACACCCCATGAGCTTTACACTATGTGGAAACCATATGCCTAATCTTATCCCAAACAATCAAAACAACTTAACAACAGCCAAGCCACCTCATTGTGTAAAAGAGATAGCTAAGGCTGCATAACATAAATGGCAGTGAGAAGAGGGAATCAACACATGTTCCAGATTTAGGGCAGGGGTGCCAAAAAAATAGAGGAGAAAGTCAAGAAACCAAGAGCAAATTAGAGGACAAGACATCAACCTTGAATGAGTCATGACTTGTGATAATAACAAATAAAAAGGTTTCACCTTTTTTGTCAAAGGGAATGATAATAGACTATGTTACCCTTCACATAAAATGATGAAAAGATATCCAATCAGGCTCTATTAGTGGATAAAAGGACTTCACCAAGTGCATAAGTGCACAGAAAACTAAGAAAGCAAACATCAGTCACCACCATGAACAAAAGGAAACAAAATATTTGGATTTTGTTTCCCTTGAATCTTTTTATTTTGAAGACTTGAGACAAAAGCACAGAAAATAATTAGGGTAAAATCTGAGTATTCTCATTGTCATTCAGCAGTCCTTATAATTACATTTGTACAGACTGAATCCCTTGATTATAGGGATTGAATGAGTAATTACAGCTGACCCCTAATTACCTTATTTACATAATCAATCAGATTTATATATAAAAGGAAAGAAGGTAACTATATTAATAATGGAATTAAAGAGATTCTCAACATGAAGTATATACAAGACTTTTAGTAAAATATCTTTCACTGAATATTCTCTATTATTTATTTTTATTTTAAAAGGAGATAAGGGATCCCCCTTGGGAAAAGCATAACAACAAAACAGTGTGGAAGTGGCATGAAGCAGGCTTGTCAATGCAATTAAGCTCTCCAGTCTCTCAACTCTTGGAAACATTTCACTTTTTTCCAGATTGGAAACTAGAATGCAAGTGTACACTAGAATTGGTTTGTTCATGAGCAAAAGTTATTCTCGAAGCAAATTGCCAATGTAAGTCAGAACTCAAATTGTGGAAATCCCAGATGGGTGTCCAGGATCAAATTTCTTGTAAATCCAAAGTTAATAACTAGAAAAGCAAACCTCATGATCCTTTGCCTTTCCTTCTCGCTTAAAAAAACCACCACTGAAACAAAGGTAATTGAAGTATTAAACACCAAAGAAAAAAAGAAAATCTTACTTCATGCAGATGCAACAAGTAAAATAGCACCAGGAAATGGAAATGTGCAATAGTCATACCTAGTGCGACCAGCTGCTGAAAAACGCTCTTGATAATTAACAGAAAGAGGGAAAAAATCAGATGGTTCACTGGGAACATCATCCAAGCAAACAGTTGTGTAAACAATCTGCAATAAGAAAACCAACTGGATGAATTTTTCAAAAAATAAAATAAAAGCTGAGTTCTTGAAGCATAAGTTAATGGAAGTTTTCATCCTAATGACAAAATTTTTCTTCAATAAACAAAAGGATGGTAAGTGCCATTGAATTTGTGGCATGTTTCAACGCATCATCATAAGAATTCCTTTCCAATTTCCATACTCTCCATTGCATTATGGAAAACAACATATTAATTTATTCAATGTTCTAATCCTGACTAAACATTTCATAGTCAAATGCTAGTGTATGGGCCTTAACACTCACTAGACAATCTCTATATAGCATCAAGAAAATATCATTTTACAGCCAAAAAAATAGTACATTATTTACTTGAGCAAGCTAATAAATGATAGTCAAATGTACATTACTTTATTTTACAAAAATGGAAAAAACAATATTTTGAAGCCACAAAATGACAAATTTTCTTGGAGTGCTTTTTTTGCAAAAAAGGAATATTTTTGGAGTGTATGATTCATAGCCAGCATTGAGAAATAAATTTTCTTTTTTAACACAATTTTGATCTATATGACAATGTCCACAATCATGGAAAACCTAATCAACAGAAGAAATATGGGAACTTACAGTCTCTCCGTCCGTAACTGTAACAGAGCCACTTGCTTGTCTTCCTATATGACCAGTCTCAACCAAAATCTGTAGAACGTCACAAATCCTTATACGTAAATCAAACTAGTACTGAATGTGATTCTTTTACTCCATAAATCTATTTTAGCAAACTGCAACAACCCACCCCAGGTACAACAGTAATGTAAAAATAACATATTATGAAGATTTCCCATTTGGAACAAAAAAAATCTCTTATCAAGGGCGTAAAGTCTTGCAAATAAATGGAAACAAACTTTACTCCAGCAATAGAAAGATAAAAAATTATTAAACCATTCCATTTCTGCATGTATTTAGCTAGAAAATGATGCCTTGGAATTTTTTTTGTGAGACACATTAACATAGGCAGAAAATGAAAATCTTGATTATCAATTTGGTCATATTACTCATATTTACATTTGACTTTCTCATAAATATATATAGGTATCCCGGTGACTATCACAACCATTTAACAAAATGGGCTATGTATTTAGGCAACATAATATCAAACCCAAGGCTTAGACTCCTTCTCAAGGTTAGAACAAGAAATACACCATGATCCATCCTAAATCTTTCACTGTCAACCATATATATGGCTCATGATACTTACAATCAAGTCTAAACAAGATTACAAGGTCAATAGACCATTTAAAAGGAAAGATACACCCCATCTTAATTATTAACTGTCAACTGTCAACAGTCAACTATCAACTATCTTGCCAATCTTTCAAACATCCAGTTACAAGAGGGCAAGCATAAGTACTCCTAGAATCCTTCACGTACATTGAATTTGAAAGAACCTTTCGTGACAGTAGATTAGTGAAAGAAGATTTCAATTTCATATTTCACAATATTCAGGCACCAACTTCGTGCATGCACACCCACATGAGGGGGATTGCTAACCTCCCCCCAGTTATTGGAGATTAGCAACCTCTTCCACATTTTCATCCATTCATATATTTTATACAAAACTTAATTCAGTCCTTTATTAACCGAACTATAAATATATCTACAATTTAAAATCCACGTAGCGAGCATCACTATTCTATGAAAAAACTTTTCAACTTAACGAAATGTCACAAAATCAACTTTATCCATCGGTTAACTCAACCTTGTAGAAGAAAAAGAAAAAAACAAAATCCATTCTGTCAAATGCATTTGAATTGAATTCACACCTCCAACACACACAGCCCAATTCCCAAACAAGCCACAAACACTTCTACACAAAGCAGAAACAAAATGCTTCAATCCAACAAAATTAACAATAACATGATTAAACTACCTACATGTCTATCACCAACAGGAATCTTCACGGAATAAGGTTGCAGCGGAATGTGCGGGCCAGCAGCGTCGCCGACGACGGACTCCGAAACCTCCGATGAATCGGTGGAAACTCTAACGCGGAAGCGGTGACGGTTCTTGCCGGAAAATAGAGAAGGGAAGCTGCATTTGCGAGAAGCGGCGAAGCGAGAGGAAGGAGGGAAGAGGAAAGGGTTGGAGAGGAGGAAGTGAGCGGGTTGGGAATGGCGGTGCAGTGTGGCGAGGCCATGGAGGGAGCTGCTAGGACATACTAGCATCTTCTTCTTCTTCTTTCGCTCTTAGGGTTTTCAAATTTGAAGGAAGCCGTTGAGTGTGAGTGAGTAGTGAGTGGTGAGTGGTGAATGGGGAGTGAGTATGGGACACAGGTGAAGGGGAGAGAAGGTGAAGGAAGTGCCGTTATCCGCTTCTGCTCTTTGGTTCAGACGCGCGCTGAGCTCATGGTAACTCATTTGGGCTTTGTAATTCGGTTTTAGGGACTTCAGCCCATTTTTGTTTTAGAGTTGTCATTTCTCGTTATATTATTTATTTAATATACATTTTATTATATTTAAAGTTGAAGTAATAAATTCAACAGTTGTAAAGAAATGATTTTGAAAATACTTGTTTAATTTCTCATAATAATTATAATAATATTTTTTATTTCATTCTATTTCTGAATTTAAATTATTTAGACAATATTGAAAAAAATTTAACTATTTTTTTAATTATTTTATAGATGTAGAAGTAAAACAAAAATTTCCAATAATTAAGTCATTTCAACAAATTAAATACAATAGAACGTCCATGTTAAATTTATCCACCCAAATTCATTGCGTAATGATTTCCTGTTTTTTTCAAATACTAAAATGATTAACTTTAAATATATCAAAGGTTAAAATAATTATACTTTTGAAGTTTATAATAAAGTTCTAATATAATTATAAAAATATTAACTTGCTCTCATCCTCATTCTCCCTCTCCTACTTTACATTATTATGGATGCTCAAATGTCATTTTTTTTTCATCAGTAAGAACTGGCATGTAACCCAAGTTGTTGGAAAATAAGCTATATAAATTAGACGAATGAAATCATTTATTCATTAAAAAATGAACTACATAAAACTCAAGGAGTAACGATATAAACTCCAATTACATAAAGAGTTACCATGAGTGCTTGCATAATTTAATTAAAATCAAACTTCAAAATTAAAAATAAATTATTTCAAATGAATATATATTAAAAAAATTTGAGTAAGATTTACAACTACACATATATACACTCATCTATTTTTTAAAGGAATACTTTAGCAAATTATAATTACTTTTTAAAATAAACTAAAAATATAAGTTGTTAGACTCTAATATAAAAAAATAGTATATATTAGCCCTCATAATTGCTAGCAAACACTCATTTATTTTTTCAGAAGAATGTTAAATAAGTTAAAACTTTAATTTTCTTAAAGTATACTTAAAATATGACTTGTTAAAATAATTTTTTTTTAAATTAAATGTACATTAATAAATATTTCTTTAAATATATATGAGTTGGTATATAATTACAGGCCTAATAAATGTCAAAATAAGAAAATTTGAGAATTATCAAGCATGTATAAATAATAAATATATATATATACTCATGTTATGCAAGTTTTTATAAATGATATACAAAGTTTAATTTTTGAAACATAAACATGTTACTTATGTGTGAACAATTATTGAGAGCTGACACTATTTCACAAAATAGTGGTACCAAATGATAGTATAGTTATGGGAAAAAAAAAACAATAGGGTTTATGCACATAAACACTTTTAAGTGAGAGAAGATAAAGAGTTTCTTGAACGCATTCTTCAAAAAAGTCCAAGGAAATGGATCTTTAAGAGGATGTGTAGCAATTCTTTGCTTGTGTAGGTCTAAGAAACCAAACCAAATGAGGCAGAAATTTTGATTGAGTAGATCACTGATTAGAGGGAACCAAAAATGAGAAGAAGAATTAAAAAAAAATATGAGAGAATTAGAGAGGTGATTACACATGAATGGCACCACCCTAAAGAAGTAGGAATAAGTCAATTTGCCTCGCCACATGAAATAATTTCATGATAAAAGAAGAGAATCCTAAAAAATTATAGAGAGGATTTCTAAAAAACTCAAACTCACAACATATATGAAAACTAAACAAATGAATTTTAATCTGAATTTCACAAGGGGCTTAACCTATATATAGGTAAGCTAACTCTAGATCTAAATACATTTCTAATAGTCCGTGAACAAAAAGTAATAAGAGGATAAAAATTGGGTTGAATACATGCCCTAAACACATGGCCCAATACAAGCCCAAAAAAATACAAGAGACTTTACCCTAAATCCCAATGGGCTACCCAGGCCCATGATTAAAATACAAGACCCAAAAATCCTACTCTAAACATGAATAATGTAAGTAAAAAATATATACATGTATAATCTTACAGTCTCCATATGATGGACCTTTAAATGTGTCACAAGAGTGGATAATGTCAGTTGGGCCTTCTTGGCCCTAGCCTTAGTTATAGGCCTATGGAAAGCCTCCAACTCCATTGCCTCTGCTAGGTGCTCAGGCTGGATCACATCATAAGATTTTTTATATGTTAATTGTGTAAGGTAAGAAAAATGAGTAGCATATGTGAGACTTGTAGTTTTCTTGCTCCTCGTTTATGTTATCTTGTTTTTATCATTTGATGTTAGTCACTGAGCATGAGTTGTATAGCGTGAGTTTAATATTCATGGAATGTTTTAGACATGCAAGTTGTGTGATGGACAAAAATATTGCAATAGATAAGACTTCTTAGGTATATATAACTTGAATTATTTGTTGATCGCACTTAGTTTTGTGTGATGTGACAAAAATATTGAAAATGTATAAAACTTCTTAATATGGATAATCTGGATTGTTCTTTGATCATAATTATATTAACTTTAGAAATCTTATAGTCCAATGTCAATAGTATCGTCTAAAAATATAAATTATTGAACATGTAGAATTGTATATTTTAAACTTATAAAAAATCATAACAAATGACAAATGATAGATTTTGGGGATAAAGTAATGTTAAGAAAATTTTATATTTTTGTTTCACAAGCATAATATTAAATATTATGGTAAAAAATGCAACCTTTAAAATAAAATTAGAAAAGAAAAATTCAATACCTATCTACACATTCTTAACAACAAAAAATGCAATTTTATAATTAACTTACTTGTTTTTTTATTTTATTTTTCTCAATGCTTAGGTTGTATTTTCATTTTGCTTCAATCTTAGAGCACCAATCCATTCTTTGTTGAAGTAATTTTTTTTTCCTCTCAAATAAAGCAAAGCAAAAAAGCATAGTATAGTACTGTAAAAGCACTTTATACCAATATATTATTGAATCTTCAAGCATAACTCAACTTTAGAAAGCCAAGGATTAAAGAAAAATTTGATGACTAAAAAAATTAAAATTGAAAGTCTCATTTTTACTAAAAGTTAATATTTTTGTCTCATCGAAGACAAACATGCTACCAATTTTTTTCTTTCTTTCTAGTGCAACATATGATGAGTTAATATAATTAAATTAAATTAAATTAAAAATATTTTAGAAAAATAATTTTTAGGAGAAAAGGAAAAAATGAAAGACTTATTTAGTGATAATCTTTATTTAAGAGTTTAACGTGAAAGAGATGAGTTTTATAAACCCTCCATATCATATATATATATATATATATATATATATATAATATAATATTTTTTTTATTTGAAAGATTTTTCATTAACCCTCATTTTCCTTTCTGCACTCTTTAAACCAATTTTTTTTCTTTTCCTTCCAAAATATCAAACAAAGTTTTAAATACTCGTTATTTTGAACATAAAAGTAAGTTAACATGAAATTGATACACATTCTAAAAGGGTTTAGATTTTCTAATTAAAAATAAATATTATTGATAGATAAATTTTAAACAAAGATTAATGTATTTTTTTCAAATTCAAATAACAAAAGAAAATGACTAAAAATATCATTGAATTACGAAATAACATTTTAAAACTTCATAAAAATACTATCTTTATATTTTATTACAGGACAACAATGTTAGTTTTTAAGAATTGTGATGGTATAAAAAATAAAAATTAGTTTTATATCATATATTGAAATTTTATATTCATAAATTTGCTTTCTTATAAATAATTTTATAAATTTAAGGATATTAATAAATTAAAGATTTTCAAGATATAAAATATAAATATATTGAGACAAAAAAGAGAAAATTAGTAATGTTTTATATATTTTAAAAATAAATTAATAAAAAAAAGTTAAAATGAGATGTTGACTAATAATTTTAAGGTCTATTTATTTTTAAATTAGACATAATTAATTTAAATATATTTTTAAACTATTAAATATAGTTAAAATATGTATTTAGATTAATTTTAACTATATTTATTATATTAAAATATGTACACAATGAGAAAAACTGATTTTGGTTACAAGTATTTAGTAACTCCTAAAAATATTATATAAAAGTATTTTTCTTATTTTTTAAGGAAAAAAAGATAAATATAATGATTGATAAGAAGGAGAAAGAGGCAAAATAAAAGTTGAAATAAGAGGAAATTTTGTGTGTGAAAAAGTAATTGAAGTTGAAATCAAATTTGGTTTAGCATTTGAGGAATGTGGGTCAGCACTACTACTAAGCGCAGCAAGGAAGTGTAGGTTGGAGAGTGATGATGATGGACTTCACCTACGACACCACCAAGCACCGCTCTATTGGTAAACCTTCCCTCGCCTCTCTTCTTTTTCTATTTTCATTCTTAACTTTCATCCAACATTTTCTTTCTCTTTGGCCGCCGATAAATAAATAAATGCCTGTGGGACCCCAAAAAGTCAAATTCAAAGGTCAGAACCCAAAATAGCTTTAAACTTTCCGCTTTGGAACTGAGCATTTGGGTTGTGCCAATGTCTCCTTGTTTGTGTTGTTTGTTGTGCCTGATTTTTTATTTCATGAAACTGAATAGATAATTTTAAGTGTGATCATGAGTATGAGGTTTACAGTGTAGTAAATAATTAAATGATAAAATAGTTTTGTTTAGTACAATGTAAAGTGTGATCATGTATGAGGTTTACAGTGGCCGACAGTACTTGTGTGTTGCCTAGGTTATTGGTGACATATAGTTGACCCTTTTGGTCAGCCCTTTGAATTTTCTACATTATTCCTGGAAAGGGAAACGATATCTCCTTTTTTAAATATTTTAATGGAGGAATAATTTATTAAAGGATCTGTGGCTGTTGGTAGTGTTGTTTATTGAAAAATGGACCCATTAATCGCTTTGTAGCGGGGATTACTGCCTTTTTCTATTGTGCCCCATTTGACTCTTTCAATGATTTCTATTATGTTGGTCCTTTAATATCTGATATCATAATAAGATATTGTACTTGACCCAATTTAGAATTGTGCACGTAATTGAATGCCATTGATTTTGTACAATGTACATGGCTGCTCATATTATGTATTACTGTTGCCTCTTTTTTTCTTTTTGTGTGTAATTACTGCTGCTTCTTTTGATTTTCTCAATGTAAGTAAAGGTATGCATTATGTGAATTTATATCACGTAGATCATTGTGTGTTGATGGAATATAAGTTGATGATTGATCTTTTAATTGCATTGATTACAGAACCTCATGGGATAAGGGATGTAATGGACTTGCAGCATCATATTCACTGTTTGGAAACTGAGGCTTACAGTTCTATTTTGAAGGCTTTCATTGCTCAATCTGATCTTCTGACATGGGTAAATATGTATTCTAAACGTGTTCTCTGTGATCAAGTTGGTCTCCTTGTTGCGTATACTCTTGCAAATTGTCACAAATTGTGTAAAGTGTCCTCTAAAATTTGTTTGTGGCTGCAGGGCAAAGAGGGGCTTATGACTGAGCTGCGCAAGGAACTAAATGTGACAGATGTTGAACATGGAGAAATCCTGGCAAAAATAAATTCAGATGAGTTAATTAAAAAAATAAGGTATTTGTTTTATTGTTCATATTCCGATGCACTATTATTTTCATTGTTATGGCGATGTAGAATCTTTACTACTTTTGACATTTAATGATGCAGGAAGCAGAGGAAATTAGCATCTCATGCTCAGGATTATACTAAGGCTAGTGCTTCTGCTTCAGTGAGAAATTCAATAAGACTGAAAACTCCATCCTCTGCTTCATTTTATCCTCAGAAGAAAATATCACGGAGCCAAGCTTCTCTACTTGCTATTCCTATTCCTTCTTCGATGCCCGTGAGTAAAATCAAGCCCAATACATATGTTAAAATTGTTTATATTGGAATGTCTGTGTTTAGAGTCTCTCTGATATAGATTCTGGACAGTCCTGAATGAATGCCAGATTAATGCCCTAAACAGAATGCAAACAATTATGGAGTTTGAGAATTGACTACGGGTCTAAAAATAAAAGTGAAAAACTGTGACTTGTGCTTTGCAAAATCAATTCTCAAACTTCCTAATACAACATATTTACTTAAATATCCTTATTTTGAATTCACAATTATTTAGTGTAAAACACCTTCTTGGTAATTTGCTATTTGAAAAGAAATTTTGCCTAGCAATAATATCCAAGATGTTTTACCTTTCTAAGATCAATTCTTATACAGTCAATTTGACTCTATTCATTTGTCTTCTAGCACATATTAAATGATTTGATCCCTTGACCCTTCTGTGGTGATTTTTATGCAAGTCTTTTGTTTTTTCCAAGACCTCACACGTTCTTTGAATGGAGCTACTTTTCTTCTTGCTAAATCCCTTTGGAACTCCAGAGCTCCCTCTAAGGTCAAGTCTTTTATTTGGACTGTATATTATACTTTATAGAATCAGTGCTGATGACATGTAGACTGGAAAAAGCTTGTTCCCCTGATTTATGTGTAATTTGTGGTGTTTACTCAGACTCAGTTAAGTCAGTTCCATACCTGTTCTTACACTATTCTGCCTCTGTTTCTTTATGGTATTCCTTATTTGCCATTTTTAATAAATTGAATCTTGTGTATGTCCTAGGTATTTGGACCAATTATTGATGATTAGATTTCCTGGCTTTGCTAGATGTAAAGAGGCAAAAATGGCAATGTTTCCTCAATGCTACATTTTAGTGCAGTTGCTTTAAGCATAATTCGCATTTTTTGGGTTTCTACAGTATAATACTTGACCTAAGGATAAAGATTAGGCTTTTGTCTTCTATTTGGTGTAAGGCATAGGGCTTTTCTATGTCGTTTTCCTAGCAGATATATTGAGGCGTTGCACAACTTTGCTCCATTAATTTTTCCCTTCTTTTTTTAGGTGTTTTCTGTTTGATCTTGGGTTAAGGAAGATTCCATGTCCTTCATTCTGTTTGTAATTTTTTCTCCTTGTTTTAATGATTTTTTTTTAATAAAAAGCCTATGCTTCCACAATCAATTTTAAAATTTATTTTGTACAAAATCATATCTTCAAAATCAGAATCACTTGTTTCAATGACTGATTACCATACCTTTGACCAAGTAAGAGATTTCTAATAAATTTCATACATTGTTAACTTCAACAAATTTCATTAGTATTTAGAGTTTAACCACTTTCTTGGTAGCATAGCCATGCCTGCTAATTGTTTTTCCTGCAAAAGAGATGCTTGAAGAATCATCCTCAAAATTTAGAGGGACTTATAAAAATAACTAAGGTTACGTTGGAGTGTATGGTTTAGATAATTAGCTGGATATTTGTTTTATGTGTTTATGAATGTTTTTGCAAACAAAGTGTATGTTACTATGTTTAACAAGGCAATAAAAGTAATGTTCCTCATATTAGAACAGCATGTTTTGGTAGTTTTTTCTTTTTTTCTTGGATTGGCATTTCTCAGGATCATTACCAGCCAGGTATAGTATGTGGACAGTTGATAACATGCTTTCATTTGATATCTATGATCAGTCAAAATTACAATATAAAAACAGTTGAACTTGAGGCTCATTAATTGTGATTTTGTCTGTGCAGCCAAAATTTAATGGTGATCCATTGACTGCTGAATTTTCCCATGGGAATGTGGAGCAGTCTACAGAAATGTTCAATTATAATGTTCAGTTACCACCTATTGGGGGAGGAAGAGTGCTGAAAGGAAAATATCAATTAGAGAAGGATTTTCACAGATCTGACTGTGTCAAGTTAAAGAACAGATCTGATTTAATTCAGATTCGTGCAACAGATAGGGTTATCCATGATGTAAGCAAAATCCTTACTTGTATCTATTTTGTATTTGCTTTTTGTTAATTTCATTTTCACTGGCAATTCATAGAACTCATGAATATGAAAAGATTGCGAGAAAATACATTTTGTAATGGATAAAGCCATGTTTAAATGCTGATGATTCTTGTCTATCTTATTAAATCCTCAATATCTTGGTACTTAGTATGTCTGCAGGGGTGGCTCCTCTAATAGCTAATGAATATTACATTACATATATTCGTTTTTACTAAAGTATTACATTACACTTGTAGTTTTCCTTAAAATCTAATCGCTTTTTCTTCTAAAAATTACACTGATGTTTTGTTCCTGTGTTCATAATCCTGGAATGGATAGTAAAATTATGAAATATAACCTTATTAAATGATAAGAGTACAAATGTAAATAGAGGGCCAATTAATGGAACATTATTCCACTGTTTATTTGATGAAATAAATCATGAAATGCATTGGTAAAGCATCTGAGAATTGGCATATTGCCCAATAATGCATTGGTAAATCCATGGATTTCATATTGTAATATCTTGTATAATTTGGACAAGATAAGTTAAAGTGAATCTTTGAGGTTATATCATGATTCATTGTGTGGTTATATTTGAGGTTTTTGTGGCGATATTTGAGGATTTTTGGTGATACATATGCTGTTGGAGCTTCTTTTGATGACTTTTCTTGTGTTCTGATGATAAAATAAAAATTGTCCGACACTTAACCAGACTGAAAAAGAAAGGTTTAAAAAATAGAATGCTGTCCTAGTTGTGCCTCACATGTATTTGTGTATGATACTCCTTGGAAACTGCTAGCCTGATCCTATCATATATTTATTTACATTTATTTTTATTAATGAATAAAATAAGTTTTGTTAAATTATCCTATGAATGGGTTTAGAAATGAAATGTATTTTAAGGTAGGACAGTTATTTTATTGTACTTGGCATGTTATTTTGTTGTCAACCTAGAACAACGAATTTCAAGAATGTGGTGTTTAAGAAGGCTCATTTTTAAATGAAGATTTATAAATTATTTGAAGCTTTCATATTAAATAGCTTTTTTTCATAGACTAAATTATTTATCAATAAATTATGCAAGGTTTCTGGACTGTTCCAAGTATTTGGTTCATGATTTGCTTGCCTACTCAATTTTAATTTTCTTTTTTTGTAGGATCTTTTACGTTTTTTTTTTATACATCATGCATTTAGCAATCAATTAACATATTCTGTAATTTCAGGTTTTCTATGATTCTCATTGCAATGTGATAATTCCTTATTTTTGGCAGGTTGAAAAGATGCTTTTCAGTAGAGAGAAACCTGATCCGGTTGACATTGAGAGAGCTAAACGGACTCTTAGGGTAATTTCTGCCTTTTCCCTCTTTAAACAATTTTGACCTTAAATTATATGAATATATTTAATTTGCTCCAGGAACAAGAAATAGCAATAATTGAAGCACTTGATAAACTGGCTGATGCGTTAGAAAGGGGTAAGGATACTTTCCTGATATTCTTCTCGGCTCCTCTTTAACTTCTTATTGAACATTGGGTTTTCCAGGTGATGCATCCAAACAAATGCAACGGTATGAAGTCTCCAAGAATACTGCTGGAGGACAAGAAACAATGATTCATGCTAATTTCCGTGGACTAACTGGTAATGGTAGGTTGAATGGACTTGGAGATTCATTTTGATCCTTGTAATTAGGGTGATGATTTTGTGGCATAGATATGGAACCTTTCATTCTGATTATAGGGCTATACAACTCAAAAAATGATATTGCTGGATTGGTTCAGTGAGCACTTTACTTGTTTAGGAGGTAGAGCATTTAATTTAAGTTAGTATCTGACTGATGTGTGAAGAACGCTTTAGTGTGACTAGTTTCAACACATGTCGAATTATTATGCTAAAAGTAGCTTAGTTAAGTTGTAAATGCTTGAGTCCAATTGCTTCCCATACTTCAGCTAAGAGTTCAAATTTCTTGTTAGTTGTTACTTGTTAGTGGTTCACAGTCCAAGATTGCGTCAATGGTTTAAAAGCACTTGTTTTGTATATGGATATGGGTGTGTGGGTTGTCTCATTAGTTAGTTATTAGTGGGATATGAGTCACCTTGATCTTCATTTTATAGCTAAATTGTCGCTGACTTTAAGATGGTGTCTATTCCTTAAACGGGTTCTTTGCATAGGTGATGCCTTTTTTTGTTTTTTTCTTGGTAGAGGTAATATTCTGTTCAAGATATTGTTGGGTGTCTTGTTGCTTTGCTTTCATGGCTACAGCATTAGTTGTATTTCTCGTGAGATTGATGCAAGTCTTTCGTATTAGAATTCAATTTAATAGAAGGGGTTCTTAATCGTTGGATAACATTGAGACTTTGTTTGTGCCTTTTAAAGAACGGGCTATATTCTTTAAAATTACGTGGCTCTACTTTTGATATTATGGAGCCGCTTATTTTTTTTCCTTCCAATTACGTATACTGCCAAAGCTTACAGATTTATCCTCAAAAGGATGGTTTCTTTTTTTTTTTTTTAATAATTAGTTACTTTTTTAAAAATAAAGATAATTTTGAAAAAATGTTATCAAGTTACAAGATAAATATTTTAATTTTTTAATAAATAGATTAATTATGAAGTGTGCGTTTAAGAATGTGTCTAAAATAACGTTACTAGTATTTTTATTGCTCAAATCAGTGAAACTTTTATGTCACTTATACGTCAAGCTTCAACATTCACAATGGTGTATGGGCATTAATGTAATTTGAAGAAATAATTGAATATTTTTTATTTAGAAATCGGATATAAATGAGCTAAACAACAATCCAGTCATTCAAGAAAATAAGCTTTTTGACCCAAAAAACAGATATGTCAAAGGCTTCTATGCACAAAGACAAGAATTTAGAACCCATTGCTTTTATACAAATGAAGGTGCCACCTCTTTCAATGTGGGGTTGAAGGCCACAATAAGAGGAACTGCAAGGGACTTATTTGCACTAAGAAAAAATAAAAGGTAAATAAATACAATTTTCTCTTCAAGAGACTGCTATAAGTCGTTACTAACCTTGTTTTTTTGTCATCTTTAGAAAAACAAGCTAGTGTTTTGAGCTGCACCAGCACAAGAAGAAGCATCAATTGGAGCATCTAAATCTATAACAGCAATTTCTAGAAAAACAAAAAAGAACATCTATATAGCATCACAATAGACATCACTACATCCAACAAGTGGGTGTGGCAGGCTAAATGCCTATAATTCACGAAGTTGTGTTTTTCAATTTGGCAAATTACAATTTTTGTTTACTGGAGAGATGTTCAAATCAAGTTGCTCTGTTTTCAAATTTCAAAAATTCACATTTCCCTTTTTTTTTTTTTTTTTAAAGGGATGAACTATTATATTTTAATGTAAATGATAATTTTAATTGTGGCGAGCAATTATTATCAATTCTCGCATAATATTTTCCTCCATTTAACTTTGACAGCTAATTTTAAACTCTATTATTATTTGTAGAAATTTAGAAAATGAAATGAAATTTTAAATACACTTGTTATTGATTTTAAAACTTACCCAAAATTTATATTTAATATTTGAAGTCTAGAAAAAAATTAATGAAGAAAGGTAAGTTTGGGTCAAGGTATTTGAGACCGTAAATAAAAATTCATGAGGGCCTTTTAGTATTTTATAATATATATTATAAAATTATTAAAATTTTTAGATCAACTGGTGTGAAGTTGTTTAAATTAACTAGTACTCTGGACAAAAATATACAATTTAGAAGATTATTTATTTATTTTTGTTTGCTTTTTTAATACAGAATCAACTATTAAATTTGCATAATTAAGTTTAGAAAAAAAGATTCAATTGATAAAATAGTTATTTTTTTTAATGTTACTTTTTTTAAAAAAATTGAAAATATATCACTATATTAGTTAACTAATTTTTTTTATAAGAAACTATATGAATTAACTAGTACTCTGGACAAAAATAGTTTTTTCTTTTTTAATGTTACTTTTTTTCTACCTAAGTGGGGTTGGCCTTACATGCCTTTGTCCTGAGGGTAAAGGGCAATATGTAGGCTTTAACGCAAATTCTACCTAAATTGTTTATTTTTCATGTTAGGTCTTGTTCGGGAAATTGATCAGAATAATATAAATTTAAAAATTATTTATTAATTAATATATTTAAAATGTCTAAATACTCTCAAAATTGTAAACAAATTTTTACTAATCTTATTAGAAATAATAATAGTCATTATGTTAGGTCAAAATATTATAACATTAACTTCATATTTTTTTTCTCTCTTTTTTTAACAAGTTCACACATATTTAAAATAAAAACAGAAAATTAATACAAAACAAACATAGAGTAAATTTGGAATACATCTTGAAAATAAATCATAATATAATACAAAATAAATAGTAGATTTTATAAAATAACGTAGGGGACCACTTATCTTTAAAAATGGTGATGGTGGGACTTGAAAAGCACCACAATCCGATTACTCCCCTGAAAGAAGAAAGTCAAAGTTAAAAAATGGATGAAAGTGAAATATTTTAGTCTCACGAGTTTTCAAATTTTGTGGTAAAAAAACAGAAGGGTGTGACGCCCTTACATAAAGCCTTACAAGTAATCAACCCTTCACTTATTGCTTCCTTGTTGTGTGCTGTCTCACTCTGCCCTTCATGTCTAATTTTGAAACATAGTTCCCTCCACGGTGCTTTTAACATAGAGGTTTTGTTGTATTTGCCTTAAAGATAAGGCAAATATATATATATATATATATATATATATATATATATATATATATATAAATATGGCACCATTTGTGATAAATTTTTTAAAAAAATGTGTTAATATTTAGTTCTTAACTTTTTAAGATATATAGATTTAATTTTTATTGTTAACATTACATTTTAAAAATATTAAAAACTAATTCTATTATCCAACTCATCATTCATTAACAAAACACAGTTTATGATATTGACTAAATTTTTATATTTTAAAAATGTTATGTATTAAATTTTAACAAATTTTTTTAATGACTTATTTTTAAAAGTGTTATTTTTATGAGGATTAAAAATATAATTAAATCTAAAAATAATATATACTAAAATATAGAATTTAACAAAATTATAAAAATATGAGATACAAAGATTGTCAATTTTTAATGCAAGTATAAAGTTTCAGAGATAGAATAGATAAAAGTTATAAAGTATCAATAACAATTTTTTAAAGAAATAAAAGAAATTATAAAAAAAAATCACTGATATTAATTTTTCAAAAGGTTATAATAAAATTTTAAAAACAACAAATCATTAATGATGATTTTTCAAAAAATAATAAAAAATTTAAAACACCAAAATTTGTTGATGACAATTTTTAAAAATTCTTCATATTTTAGTATTTTGTCTAAAATCTTATATTTTAATAATTTTTTCCCGTATAAAAACAAAGAACCCTAATATGGATTCCTGCACTCAACTTTCTACGCAGTTATTAATCTGTTAGAACTTTAAAATGAATAAGGGAAATGAGATTTATAACAATTGAGACTTGGCAATATAATCTTCTAGGGTGAATACACACTTTTCTAAAAGTAATATTTTATTTCTTATAAAAGTGTGGGGTATCACGAAATTTTTCTTTGAGATATAAAGAAGATTAATAATGATAATTCACGCTTTATGAATTAACATCTAATAAGAACACAAGGTAAATTCAGTTTTGTGTTGTCGATATTTTAAAGAAAAAATAGTTTTACAAACACTTTTTCACTTTGATGTATATGTTATGATTATATTATAACCAAATTTTTATCATCATCCATGATAAAATATAAGTCCTATGTATACATAGAGGAATTTTTTAGAAAAAATTATAAAACATAATTATTTGATGGTTACCATTAGAAATAACTACCTAGTAGTTATCTTAGAAGTCTAAGAGATATAAACATTAACTTTCTCTTTTTTATTTATAATTAATATCAAACACCATATTCTAATGATATTAACTATACAATCACGAATCAAAACCATGTAAATAGTCTAAAATTTCAACATAATATTTACTCTTCATTTTATTTTTAAAATTTAACAAAATTAATTAAATATAAGAAAAAAATGTGCTTCTTCAACATGCTTCATACACCACAAAATGTCACTTATTATGCTTTGGTATGTTCTATTTTTTACTTTTGTTCCACACAATACTTTTATTGTTAAATTAACTTATCATAATAATAATATAATTAATTTCTAAAGTATTTAATATGATAAATACTTTTCAAATTTTCATTATTATGGTGAAAAAACATAGGTATTCATAAAAAAAGAAAAATACCACTGAAAACATGTTTGGATTTATGAAGCAAGATTTATGATTGAAATCAATTTATATTCGCTTTATAAAGTACATCTCAAGGTAGTAATATTTTTTATTTAAAAAAATGGACTTATAAAATAATACAAACAGATCCTAAGATGTTTTATGCTTTGAAATTATTTATTTTAGAGGAGACAAAATTAAATGAAGACTAACTTATCCTAAGACAATATTTTAAGTAGCCAGTTTTTGGTACAATTAGACAAATATTTTGTAATGCCTCAAGTTTTGTAAATTATTTATTATTAATAAGTGAGTTATTATTTGGATATATGTGTGTGTGTGGTGTTTAGATGCATGATTTGAATATATGTGTGATGACGTGGAAGTGTATGACTATGTGTATGAGAGTATGAATGTGAATATTGATTCGAATGGAGATTGAACATGTTTGAATTGTGATTGGACTAGGCTATTTGAAAAAATATAGATTGGAGTGTGTTGCAGGGACATTCTCGCTGTAGCGAGAAGGCTCTGTACGTAGAACTTGAAATTATTACATTTTCGCTGGAGCGAGAAGGCAACAGAAGAGGGTGCATATCTGGATGCAGTTTTGCTGTAACGAGATTCTGCAGAAG